TTTTTTTTTTTTGGGGGGGGGGGGGTGCTGGGCGTACAGCCAAGGATACCAGACCCAGCGCTGGCCAGCACCGTACTGTCATGAAAGTTTAGATTCTTGTCTTGGTTACAATTTACTGATATGTTGAATACGTATAATTTAATAGTTATAAAATACGAATCCCCGATTCTCTTGATACTGTGATTGTGTGATAGAGAAAATGGAATTTTTTCACATTTAAATATTTGATTGCTTTTCTAATTTTTATTTTCACTATAAAATACTTATAATGTTAAACATTTGCAGCAAGAATAAGAATTTGCTTTATTCGATCAAAGTATCAAACTAAATTAATTATTAATATTGGACTTAAGTTAGTCCAAGACTGGTATAACAAACTTTGAATATCTCAAACGTTTAGAACTGAGATAAATTTAAATTTTGCCTCGCCTCGTGTTTACCAAGGTTTAAAACACAGTGCGTCGCCGTCAAATTGTTCTTTTTCAAACTTCCAATCTCGTTCGCGAGACAGTTTCCTGTTGTGATACTTCATTGTTTTCTTTTGGTTTATAAATCTAGCTTTATTTCGACTCAATAATCTTCTTTAAGCATTAAAAACGGTGTAAAATCTATTTTATTTACGTTTGCTTTTTTAAGCCTCAGTTACACTATCAAAATTTCTGTGATCACAGTAGGAATTTTTCTAGTGAATTCTAAGCTTTGAAGGATTTGTAAGAAATATTTGAGGAAATTGTCTTAGTGTTAAACACCGAGTCAGTTGTCACACATGTCCTTTACCACTTCTGTTACATAAATTTGATAACTGATTGTAAATTTCATGTTGTCTGCACATGTAGCCTCCAGGCCTTAAAATATCTTTTACAGGGCCGTCTGACAAAATGTCCGGTGACGTTGAATTTGGGTCGGACATATGTCCGATGACCTTCAGTTCAGTGTTTGACTCGGAAATAAGTCTGAATGACACAAATGAATAAACGGTAAATGTTGTAAAGATATTAAATAATTTGATTCTTTCATACTTATTTCCAAGCCAAAATTAACTTGCTTTTCAGAACAGCAGTATTAAAAAAGACTTCGACAACTTAAGCCCGTTTTCCACTTCACCATTTCGCTCGCCGCCCCGCGCTCGACTACGTTAAAACAACATTCCAGTTGACCTTTTATACAATAGTACTCTGATTTTCCATTTAATGTACAAGCATCTAGTCCTGGGCTAGGGTACATTTTGATTTACGTCGGACAAAGCTACAGTTCGGTCGGACACCAATACATGACTCGGGTCGGACAAACAATAAACCTCAGTTTCACTTTGGTTGGACAGAATGTCCGGTGGTTTTCTTTCCACGTCGGACAATGTCCGTGACCGACCGATATTTTAAGGCCTGGTAGTCTCTTTGGAGACACCATTTGCCTCCTGACAAATCGGAAAATGATCAAGATAGTGACTCTGTTTGATTTTCATATTGTATTGACATATGATTATTGACATCGCTTTTTAGTCTTCAATATTTGAGTGAGTTATGCTATGGAAATGACAATATTTTTTTATTACCCAACCCTTGAGTTGTTTTGTTTTCCATTTACCCAACCTTTTACTCACTGAAAATTTTGTTTACCCAACCCTTTTCTCTTCGGTGCCACCCCCTTCCATAAATAAATACTGGTCCCTAAGAAGTCGTAATTTTGAAAACAGGTGTAATAATAATTTGTGTTTGTTTCCCCTAGATCAATGTCCATGAAGCGAAAGAGTTCGAGACGAAACAATGGGACTTTGAAAGTGATGAAGATGAAGATAAGGATAATGAAAGTGGGGAGAGCGAGTGGGACGAGGAGGAGGAGAGTGATTAACACTGGGGGGAGGGGGGAGGGCTATCTCAAGATTTGACTCTATAGGTGGGGGAATATTATGAAGATAGGGATAATGGAAGTGGGGAGAGTGAATGGGTTCAGGAGAAGAGCGACTGCGAGGGACAGGGTTGTCTTTAGAGGAGTATATATGAATTCCATAGTGTGCAGTTTTTAGAGAGGGATGCGCCCTTCCCCCACCAACAAAAAATATGCCAAAATACCGCAAACATTTAAAAATTCAGCATGAACCAGTTTATGCTAATGTCAATAACTCGAACGGAATTTTCTGATCAGAATTTTCTTTTGTCTTTTCATCATTTCAAAATCCCACTGTTCTCCATGCCGTCCAGTCACTATCCAGTGATCGCAATGTTCCATTGTCTTTTCATCTTTTTGAAAATCCCACTGTTCTCCATGTCATCCAGTCAAGATCTGGTGATCAGAATATTCCATTGCCTTTTCACTGTTTTGAAAATCTCATTGTTCTCCATGCGATCCAGTGATCAGAATGTTCCATTGTCTTTTCATCGTTTCAAAATCCCATTGTTCTCCATGCCATCCAATCATTCACTGTTTCGAAATATATATAATATATATTTGTGACGTTATGCAAAGAGCCTATATAAAGATGTGACTTGGGGGGGGGGATAGGAAAAAGGGGGGGAGTAGAGTACATTATATCAAGAATATATATAAGACGGGGAGACAAACAAGCATTCATATCAACAATAATCCATAAATATCCAACATTCCCCACTATACTATTTCAACTCCTGCATAACGTCTATTCTGGAAAAATATTTTCTACATAGCATGACAGAGCTGTTAACTCATTTTAGGTATACTAAATAGTATATGAAATAAATGGAATTTTTTTTGAATAAATAATATGCCTGTACGACATTCATTTATGACAAAATACAGAAATGCTACGTCTTTTCAGGCATCCCTCTCACATTAGTATTTGCGGCATTTGCCTTCTGGGGCTCGCGTGCATGCGCAGACAACTGTCTGGCATCGGAAGAGTATTAGACACAGAAAAAATTGCTAAGTGCCTATCAAATTTTATTAATCCATACCAGTCCTCTATTTTCTGAAAAATCTCGCTGAAATTTGTCAAATGCTTAATCCTTTAATAAATTAAGGATTTAAGTCTAAAATTTTCTCAGGGACAAATATTTAGCATACTTTGAGATCTTGAACCTGCTGTAATAAACGGCGTTAAGGCGTTGTCGTAACCATTGTCTGACTTAGACACTTAACAGAGAAAAATAATAAAGTCTGATGCATTGGAGCTCAATGTAACCTTATGACGTAACTTATGGGGCACTAGCCGAGTTATATTTAATTAAAGAATAAAGAGCATTTCAAGGCTATATAGTTGAGTTGCATGATGTTTATTTAACAATGGTGCTGGTTTCCCTTGTGTTTAGCTCGTGAATAATTTGAGAAAACTTGTTCTTTGCCTCGTGTAGCGAAAATTCGGCGGACCAAATTACGTTTCCATTCAATTTCAACACGGAGTAAATAAAACACTCGGCCTCTTTACATACAATTAAATAAAAGCGTTGAAAAACATGTGCACACATTTCTTTTATCAGCACTGGGCCATCCCAAAAATCTATCAACGGTACAATCGTTTGAAAACCACAGCAATTTATATTTCATCTCACGTATCGATTTCAAATAAATATGATGAAATAAGCATGTCATAGCTAATGGCCTGTTTTCATTTTGCTTCTGATCTTTCCGGAGTTTTGAGGTCTAAGGTCAGACTCACATACACACAAGCAGCAAATTGGCATAGCACAGTTTGTCAAGTGCTTTGACGCTATAAACAGGCAGAGGGTTGACCGAAAAGTAAAAGATTTATTAAGTGTTTCAGGTTTGGTTCGAATCAGCTAACACGTTGGATGTTTGTTCAGTTTGGGTGAAGAGAATAACAGAAATACAGGATTATTGTGTAGGATCTCACATTTTTCAGGTAAGTTTTGTTTTTATTGATGAATTTACCGTATAATTGCTTCATAATCATGAATTCGGCAAACGATGTGTGCTACACTATGGTGCTGCAATGTGTATAAAGAGGATTTTAGTAAATGTAATTATATTACATGCAGCTATACCTATGTATTCGTAGAATTGACGTGCTAGCTTATATGTTTACTTTAATTAATGTTCTCAAACGTGGGGTTTCAGTGTAGAGGTAGTATTCTACTAGTAAAGATTATATAAAAGCGAGTTTTAAGCGACGTGGTTTGCGCTGAACTACTTGAAAAACATATCTCAAACGTGCGGCGGTGGGGTCCAGTGCAGATTCTATACCATGGACTTCAATGATCTGGTTTTTTGCACTTCACTTGGTGGTATTAATATTTGAATGCTGTTCTTAGGGTTTGTAATCCAAGTGAGTATATATATACATTTTAAGACCTGACCAGGAACGACTGCGAAAAATGCAGCACAAGGTCCTCTGGTAGGAATTGAACCTACGGCCCTGCGATTCCGGTGCAGCGCTCTAACCAACTGAGCTACAGAGGCCAGCTGTTGAGCTGTAACCGTAAGTTCATGTATATATAGGTGATCGGGGTTGTGTCTCAACTCCGATCACGAGGGTTGTGTCTCGACTACCTGAAAAACGTGATCTCAAACGTGGGAGTCACATGTAGGAAGTATTTACAATATTACAAGATACCGTCAGGTCACTGTTTTAATAAATAAAACGTAATATTGAAAGGTTAATGTCCATGATGTGTCTGATGGCTGGTTTTCTGTGATCACAGTAATAATTTGGCAAGGCGGTAAATTCTAAGTTTTGTAGGATTTGCAAGAAATGTTTGAGGAAACTGAGTGTTTAACACTGAGTCCCTCAAACGTTTCTTACAAATCCTTCAAAACTTAGAATTTACCAATGCAAAATTCCTACTGTGATCACAGAAACTTTGATAGTGTAAACACCAGCCTTCACAAATCGGCGACAGGAATTTGACGTTGGTGATTTTGTCGGCGGTTTTTGTCATGTGGGTTTTTTTTTATATCCGCAAAACTTGCGTTGTTTGTCACCACTGAGAATCAAATTGGAAAAAGGTTTTTTGGTATCCAACTGCGATATTAAAATCACATCGGAAACCGTATCGGGTGTCTAGAAACCCGAATCCCACAACAAATTTTTCGTTGTACTCAGAATAAATATGAGACTCGTTTTTCGTATCTCTGAGCATGGTGTTCTGAGGCAGAAACCACCGTCACGAGATGAATGGCCTCTGTGCATATACCAACAATACCCCTTCCAGTAAAAATCCATTTCTTTTATAATTAGATAAAAATCTGGTTTTAAAATTGTCTGTATGTTCAATTTCATTTAACTGGATTTCTAAGGTTTACAGTAAACTCCCTGTATGGCTGACCTAATTTGGTTATTATTTTCGATTAGACATTAATGGCCTGTTTACATAACCTAGGCTTTTAGTACTGGGTGGTAACATAAGATGATTAAATGGTCATGACAATAATCTGTATATTGAGATGATTGTACCACAGGAATTCACTGAATCGTTGTTTATTTTCATGGATTTTGGGTTGATTTTATAATTGGTGTGATCTATAATACTATATATTTACCTCATTCGCTTGTACATTGAATACTACATTTATTTCAAACGTGGTGGTCCAGTATAGGTAACAATAAGCTGCCGTGTATCTGAACTATCTGAAGATATTCTGCGACAAACCACGACAGCTTATTGTAGAATACTACCTACACTGGAACACTACGTTTGAGATATCATTTTCAGGTAGTTCAGACACAAACCACGACAGCTTAATATTGAAGAATACTACCTACACTGGACCACCACGTTTGAGATATCTTTTTCAGGTAGTTCAGACACTAACCACGTCGCCTTTATTGATAGAATACTTTACCTGTACATCGAAACCCCACGTTTGAGATCATTAAATAACCTAACCATCGATTCTACGAATATATGTGGAAACGATATTGACTATTGTGTTGAAACGTTCTTCTGGTAAATAGATTAAGAAAAATTGCCAACAGAATTCTGGGGTTCCTGTCTGAATTCGGTAATTTGTGGGATTTTGTCGTCAGGGATTTTGTCACACGGGATTTTTGTTATGATTCATGGGATGGCCATTAACAGTTTAGAACTGATACAGCTTGGTCAAACAGGATTATGTCAACAAAGTCGATCAAATTTAGATAATTTGAATTATGTCTTTCAAGTATCAAAACGTTTTGTTTGTCACGCGAACACGCTACGGGAAGTACAATCGTCAGCAAGCTGTTAGATGGTAAAATCACTTTCAGATGTCGGAATTACTGAATTTATTAAATGCTTGCTCACCGTTGTTCCATTCTATGCTTACATTAGCAAAACAGCAGTAACTAGACATGTGAGTTATCCTACCCAATTTTAGTGACGTCATAGACTTGATGTGTCAAAATTTGCACTTCATTTGGTTGAACTAGAATGCTGGGTTTGGTGGTTAATCCAATTGAGCATATATATACACAATTTAAGACCTAACCAGGTTGCGAATCTATTCTAACCAACTGAGCTACATGCAGTTGCAGCAGACCGATTCCTCACCATTCCTGGTCAAGGTCTTAAATTATGTATATATATGCTCACTTGGATTAATCACCAAACCCAGCATTCTAGTTCAACAAGTGAAGTGCAAAACATCTTTCAAGTTCACCTTATCACCGTCATAGATTCTAGCTCCATTCCTTGTAGGCTAAGCGTTGGCTAACCCAACAGTTGTGTTTTAAGAAAGTATTCAAAACGAGGTGATTTAACTGAGAAAATCGAGGAGCAAGTTTATGCAATCAGGAGAATTTTGTGTATGCGGTCATGCGGATATATAGACCCTTTTCATAAATGGCTGCCGATTAAAAATTCTTTTCTGTGCATATAAATTGGCCCAACTAGCCTCGTTTCTGGGTAGAAATTCCTTTGAAATCTTAACATGAGTACGAGGCTAGTTGGGCCAATTTATATGCACATAAAAGAATTTTTAATCGGCAGCCATTTATGAAAAGGGTCTATACCACCTCATTAAATTCTGGTTTCTTTCGAATTTTCTTTATGATTGAATTATCGAGTTTTGCAATGAATGTCTGTAAATCCGATACAGCTCATCTAAAACAGCTTTTATCTATAAAATAGTCGTTAAAACTGTTCACATTTATACGTTTGATGTAAGTACCATCAAATTCATAAAGCATTTCGCCATTTGCATCCTATCTGTTTAAGACCACTGCCCTGTTATAATTGGATTTTGACCTTTTTGGGAAGTTTGTAAATATGGTTTTCCGGAATCTTAGATAATCCAATCATGTTATGAGTTGGGATAAAATGCGGATACGGACGGACGGACGTACAAAAAGAATAAAATGCAGACAACAATAAAATGAGGATGAAAGAATAAAATGCGAAAAAAAGAATAAAATGCGGACAAAATAATAAAATGTTGTCCGCATTTTATTCATTTGTCCGCATTTTATTCTTTTTGTCCGTCCGTCCGTATCCGCGTTTTATCCCAACCCAGCACATGCTTTATATTGCGGTCAGACAATACAAAAACTAATCTGGTACAACCAATGCCAATGACATATTTAGACCTGTCTAGATATAAAAATCCGTCGACAAGTTGGCAACGAATGTATTAATGTGTTCCCCCCTAATAAAGATAAGAAGATTGCCGGAGATAAAATTAGATAAAATAATTTTTCAATAATAGTTCCGTTGCCATATGTTCGGTTCACTCACGGTTAATAGACTGTAATTTTCAGGGAGACCAATGGACCTTTCCCCTTATAACTAAAATTTCGATCTAGACAAAAATTTCATCATAGCTTGAAAGAGCATCACAAAATTAGTAATATTCCAAAGTTTCGTTGCAAAATCTTGTAAAATGCGGATAATATATAGCCTTGCGAAGTTTGCCGTTTTTCAGTCATTTTGTATTACAAACGGGAAATTGACATCCGATTCGGGTGTTGGGGCTGCAATTTCCCGTTTGTAATGCAAAATGACTGAAAATTGCAAACTTCGCAAGGCTCTATTTTCCTCATTTTACAACATTTTGCAACGAAACTTTGGAATATTACTAATTTTGGGATGCTCTTTCCCTGTGATGAAATATTTGTCTAGACGTGCCTAAATCAAAATTTTGGTTATAAGGGGAAAGGTCTATTAATCAACTCCAAAAGTTTTATTTTTGTCAGCGTTTTTGATGAGAGAATAACACTTTGGAGTCAATTCAACTTCTTTGAAATTTACAGTGTGATTTTTCGTGTGTGTTTTTGATGTTATGTACTCAGGTGAATATAATGTTTTTGATGTTACTCTGAGTGTATATCCACACCGGGCAGGCTGCAAATTTAGCCTGACCTGAGTACATAACATCAAAACACACAAAAAATATGTATTCACGATCATAAGAACACATTGGTATCGAAGGTACTAGACAATAGCTCCGAAATACCACACACTCGAACAGACTAATTGGCCTCGTAGCTCAGTTGGCAAAGCCAATGACTAGTATCCCAAAGGTCGCGGGTTCCATTCCCACCGTGGTAAGGCTAACTTTTTCAGCCTGCCCGGTGTGGATATACACTCAGAGTAACATCAAAAACATTTATACAGTGTTGTTTGAATACATTTTCATATAAAACTAAATGCCAGAACTTAAGCCTGCCCGGTGTGGATATACACTCAGAGTAACATCAAAAATATTTATACAGTGTTGTTTGAATACATTTTCATATAAAACTAAATGCCAGAACTTAAGCCTGCCCGGTGTGGATATACACTCAGAGTAACATCAAAAACATTTATACAGTGTTGTTTGAATACATTTTCATATAAAACTAAATGCCAGAACTTAAGCCTGCCCGGTGTGGATATACACTCAGAGTAACGTACATCAAAAACATTTATACAATGTTGTTTGAATACATTTTCATATAAAACTAAATGCCAGAACTTAATTAAACGTTAATTAACTAATTGCCCATTTAACACTTGAAATATTTGCTCAAATGAATAAATTATGACAGGACTCGTTTATTTTCGTAAATACTTACCTATAGGCTATAAATAGAAGCATTTTTATGAATAATTTTAGTGTAGATTTATCAAGTAAATAATTCTAATAAGCCATCAATTGGCCTTAATAATTTTAGGGTGAAAAATTCGAGTCATCTCACCAAAATATCACAAAAATCATAAGTTTAAATATATCTCAAGTGCAAAAGGAAATGCATCAATTGAAGACGTAAATTGATATTCCGTATTTAGCACAATTTTTTGACGTTCTAAGTTGAAGTGTCTCTAGCTTGTGAAAATATTCCTCATTTGGAAAAGTAATTAAAGTTCTAAAATTTAATCGAACAATTAACGAATAATTGATGCTAAAGAAAGGTTAGTTTTTTTAGAATGAAAGAAATATAATTTAGTTTTAGTCAATATCGTGACTTATGATTTAAAAAGATATTGTGTTATAGAAGAATCTGTCGTTGGTTTAAGTCTCTGAACTACTTGAAAAAAGATTAATAACACTTCGCAAGTAGCTTCGAAGGGCCTCCACCGGAATCGTTGAAGACTGAAGTGTTAAATTGTTTTAATCTTTCCATGAGGTATAGTTCAGACATCACGTTAGCTTATTGCATAGAATCAACTACCTACATTGGACCACCACGTTTGAGATATTTAAATCCACTGCTATTATTAGGCCTGTTTTATACGTCGAATTTCGGTTGCGTCGAATACAATTCAAACAATAGATAATGAAGCTTAATGAGGTTTATAATCTCATTATCTGTTGTCTTAATTGCATTCGACGCGACCAAAATTCGACGTATAAAACGGGCTTTACACGTCCTTCCTAAAATAACGTCAAACTAGAGAAGTCTTGAAGACAGACGTCTTCTTGACAATTTGGCAAACTTGGCAGAGATTCACTTGAAACTGCAAGATATATATATATCTTCCTGTCTTAATTTTTTATCTTATAATAATAGAGTGGTATTAGATAAATGTCAGCAAGAAATTCTTATAATATAGTATACCTGTGGATTTAAACATCTCAACGTTAAATCCACTGGCATTGTATTATAAAAGGTTCTTGCTGACATATATCTAATACCACTCTATAACAGGGTAAAAAATTAAGACGGGGAGATAACATATGTTCAAGTACATCTCTGCCAAGCTTGCCAAATTGTCAAGAGACGTCTGTCTTCGGGACTTGTCCAGTTTGACGTTCAGCTTATTTTAGGAAGGATGTGTGCTTCTGTGATAACAGTAGCGCAATCTGTGTGTCGGCAGAAAGAAATTTGCCCAACTCTGCACTTTGTCAGTGGTCGTCTGAAATTCGCTGTTCAGGCTACATTACTGTCATTAGTCAATTTGTTAGAGTCCGTTTATAGTATTTCGGTTTGAGCTGTCACATATATAGCAGACGTTTATGAATCTTGTATGTTTTACTGGAAACCCTAAAGCAGAGGTCTCTATAATCTCTCTTCTAGATCAACGATGTCGTATCACATGCTCAGCATTATTTTCATTTTGTTTTTCGTCAAGTGCAACTACTGTAAAGTTATAGATCAAGGTAAAGTTTCATAATTAAGATTTTGGCCATCTTGCTTCATATCGAGTGGAAGATTATATACAATTGTCAGATCTAGCCAGGAGCGAAAAATGCAACTATATACATATAGGCCCCCTGGCACTCTGCAGCTCAGTTGGTTAGATTTCTGCCAGAGAGCCTATATAGTTGAATTTGTTCCAACTGCTCCTGGTTAGTTTGAAAATTTTATATAATCTTTTGCTCAAATTTCAATCTACAAAACCCCCCATCAAAATAATTACAGTTTAAGACATTTATGGATGCACCGGGTAATTGTCCCTCTCAAAATGACTTTGTTTTAGCTTTATTTTGTAGTTTACACAGTTAGCAACCTTTTCAAATGAATCTGGCGGTTGAGAAACACAAAAAATAGTTAAATATTGTCAATTTAAATACAATTTTGATTGTACTCCTATGCCACGTTGAAAAGCATATTCAAATTAAGTTTTTTTTCTGTGTTGGTGTTGTGTACTCGGGTGAATATGATATTTGTGATGTTCCTCTGAGTGTATATCCACACCGGGCGAGCTTGAAAAATATGCCTGGCCACGGTGGGAATCGAACCTACGACCTTTGGAATACTAGCCCAATGCTCTGCCAACTGAGCTACGCGGTCAGGACGGTTCGAGTAAGTGATATTTCGGAACAGAATTGGCTAGTATTCCAAAGGTCGTAGGTTCGATTCCCACCGTGGCCGGGCATATTTTTCAAGCTCGCCCAGTGTGGATATACACTCAGAATAACATCACAAATATTATATTATTAAGTTTTGAGCGCGTGTTACGTGACATACAAAAGGTTCTTCTCTTAAATATTATCCGATTGCCATTTTACAAAAGGTTACTACACAGAAACTGGACGTCAAAGGGAAGGCAGTGCTAGTGGTGATGGGGGAAAAACAGGTACGGACAAGAACATATAAGAAATGTTACTTTAGAAAATGAAAACTAATACGAACAGCTCCACCAGTTTCACTCTCACTAAACACCCCCGCCCAGCTCCCTTGCCAACTCCCTCTTCTCTGCTGTCTCCCCCCCTCCCCTTTGCAGTTCCCTCCCTCCGCCCTTTCATAAATATATAGTTCTAATCAGTAAACGTTTTTCATTTTTAGATTTTCAAACTTGGCTCGCAAGACAACAATTGCACAGAAATGAGGACGATGTCGATGGAAGTGGGAAAGGTGATCTTGTCTCGTTTTAATCAACAAAAAATATAACAAATCAATAATCTCACTAGCCGCCAACCATATAGCCTATCGAAGGGAAGATGGCTGTGAAACTCATTAGAATAACAGTATAACTCATCTATGTTAATCAACGTTTATTCATAAATCTAGTCCTTCACAAGGTCAAGTGTGTATTGTATTTTTGCCAAATCCACCAATAGCAATGTTTTAGGAAAGTTACCTATCCGTAACTCGAACAATAGAGTAAATTGGAAATTGCTATTGGTGGATTTGGCAAACATACAATATGAATTTTTTCTGTGCTGGTGTTGTGTACTCAGGTGAATAATATGTTTGTGATGTTACTCTGAGTGCATATCCACACCGGGCGAGCTTGAAAAATATGCCCGGCCACGGTGGGATTCGAACCTACGACCTTTGGAATACTAGCTCAATGCTCTTTCAACTGAGCTACGCGGTCAGGACGGTTCGAGTAAGTGATATTTCGAAACAGTATCTAGTTCCTTCAATACCAATGTGTTCTTGTAATATGAATTTTTTCTGTGCTGGTGTTTTGTACTCAGGTGAATAATATGTTTGTGATGTTACTCTGAGTGCATATCCACACCGGGCGAGCTTGAAAAATATGCCCGGCCACGGTGGGATTCGAACCTACGACCTTTGGAATACTAGAACACACTAGAATACTAGAATACTAGAACACCTTTGGAATACTATTACAAGAACACATTGGTATTGAAGGAACTAGATACTGTTCCGAAATATCACTTACTCGAACCGTCCTGACCGCGTAGTTCAGTTGGCAGAGCATTGGGCTAGTATTCCAAAGGTCGTAGGTTCGAATCCCACCGTGGCCGGGCATATTTTTCAAGCTCGCCCGGTGTGGATATGCACTCAGAGTAACATCACAAACATAAAACATACAATAGTTAACAATACACACGTGACGGTGAAAGGCCAGATTTACGAATAAACGTTACTAACATAGATAATCATGAGTTATATTGTTATTCTAATGAGTTTCACAACCATCTTTCCTTCGATATATGCTATGCGCCAATTGAGTAGAAAACTCACTAATTATATTGATGCTTGTGATGTTACTCTGAGTGTAGAGTCGTAGGTTCGATTCCCACCGTGGTCAGGCATATTTTTCAAGCTTGCCCGGTGTGGATATACACTCAGAGTAACATCACAAGCATCCTATTCACCTGAGTACATTACACCAACACAGAAAAAATCATCACTAATTATATATTCACCAAAAAATACAGTAACGTACACATACATACTAACATTTTATTGGCAAGTGCCAAATAGATGCTATCAAAATCTTGAATAATCTGTAATATATAATTATATGTATCGTTATTTATTTCAAATATATACAGAGGATAAAGAAGGCAGTACCAGCGAGCATGAAGTCACAGGTAAAATATAAAATAAACTAAATTCCAACGATAGTTTGGGTATATGTATATAGTACGGTTTTCCAAGCCTATCCCGAGTTATTAACGGTCAAAAACCGCAAAATGGTACAAAAAGGTCACGAAATACTGTTTTTTTAGCAGAGTTAACCAAATGTATAACTTAAAATCGGTGTCGAAAATCGTATAGTAGCTGTTTAAATGTCCTATATTTAGTTTCTTGCGAGCTATCTAACGACTATAGGTGATATTTGCTAAAAGTGAACTTTGAAATTTCACTTCTTTTTAAGATAGTACTTTAATACGTAAATAATAAGAAAAACAAAATTTTATGGCAACCAGGAGCTAATCTGTGTTATGCCCCTATATAGGCCAAAAAGTGTCCTTATAGAATATACCCTAACATTTTGCCAAGTTGTGTGCTTTTATCATCAAGTGCACAATTGCTCTATAATTTGTACCAATCTGCCCCACTAATGCCTAAAATAATCCTGGTTTCATAATCCTAATTTCACAATTCTCTCCCCAGATGCTGATTGCGACGAAATGCATGATGTAATATTCATATTGGATGGCTCAGAAAGCATCGGTCCTATTGGTTTCAGAATGATTAAATCGTATACGAAACAAATCCTCAACCAGTTGGATTTATCGAAATGTGACAACGTTGGCATTATTAAATTCTCTGATTTCGTCTACACGGAAACGTATTTGGGAACACACGATACGAAAACGAACATGCTTGCACGCATAGATGCTTTGGAAGAGCCGGAGAGACTTGTTGCCACTGAAGTGAACAAGTCGAGGATTGCTTTAGCAATGGTGGTCGCGGAAGAACTTGCCTTCACATCCCAGCTTGGCTTGAGACCAAAGTCTAAGAAGGTATACAGTGCATTTTTCACGGATGTGCGGATGAGTTTAACGCGCTACTTCTTTGCCAAGGGAGGTCAAATCTGTGAGGACAGATGCCTATAAATGCAGACCTCTGATTATAATTTCTGAATCACTTCACCCGCATTGAAAAAAAGTACTTCCAGTACTTCAAGAAACACACTACAGATTTCATGGTACTCAGTTTTAAAATGTATAGTAGGTTTCGTCCTGTAGTAACACTGGATCCATAAGAGATGATCCTTACTGGACCTCTCTATATAGGGAGAACAGTTTAGAACTGATAGAGCTATATCCAGTATAAATAAAGTTGGTTTAGTTTAGGTTTCCTCCTGTAGTAACACTGGATCAATAAGAGATGATCCTTACTGGACCTCTAGGAAGAACAGTTTAGAACTGATAGAGCTATATCCAGTATAAATAAAGTTAGTTTAGTTTAGGTTTCCTCCTGTAGTAACACCATAGAGTAACACTGGATCAATAACAGATGATCCTTACTGGACCTCTAGGCCTAGGGAGAACAGTTTAGAACTGATAGATCTATATAGCTATACCAAGTATAAATAATGTTAGCTTAGTTTAGATTTCCTCCTGTAGTAACACTGGATCAATAAGAGATGATCCTTACTGGATCTCCAGGGAGAACAGTTTAGAACTGATAGAGCTATCCAGTATAAATAAAGTTAGTTTAGTTTAGGTTTCCTCTTGTAGCAACACTGGATCAATAAAATATGGTCCTGACTGGACCTCTAGGGAAAACAGTTTAGAACTGATAGAGCTATATCCAGTATAAATAAAGTTAGTTTAGTTTAGGTTTCCTCCTGTAGTAACACTGGATCAATAAGAGATGATCCTTACTGGACCTCTAGGGAAAACAGTTTAGAACTGATATAGAGCTATCCAGACATCCAGTATAAATAATGTTAGCTTTGTTTAGGTTTCCTCCTTCCTGAAATGACCCTTACCGGAATAAGATGAACAGTTTAGATAATAAGGGATTCCATATATGGTGAATAGTTTAGAACTGATATAGAGCTATCTAGTATAAATAAAGTTAGTTTAGTTTAGGTTTTACCCTGCAGTAGTAACACTTTGTCAATAAGAGATGATCCTTACTGGAATAAGATGAACAGTTTAGATAATAAGAGATTCCATATGGTGAATAGTTTAGAACTGATATAGAGCTATCCATTATAGTGAAAGTTTGTTTAGTTTTTATTTCTCCTTATAGTATCTAGTGTTGATGACAGATGGGAAACAACCAAAACACGGCTCTTCTAACCGAAGTTTAACAATCGAAAGTTTGGTGAAAAAATTGATTAAAAAAGAAATCCATATTTTGGTACTTGCCATTGGACAAAATCCCTCCATTGACGAACTAGTGAGGCTGACAACTGAAGAACGGAATATATTCCCGGAGAGAAGATTGAATGATTTGATGGAAGTTTTGGTGCCGAAAGAAAGTATGTATACATTGAATCTTTCACTGAATTCAGTTAAAAATCTTCATTCGTATATGGGTAGTTTTGCTAGTTACTGGATTGCAAATTAAGCCCCGGTAGTTGATGAAGCGAGAGTTTGCATACATGAGAGTTTTTTAAAGGCACAGTTCAGCCTTTTGAACGATGGTTTTTAAGGCGCATTTCAGCTCTTTTAATTGAAAAAACTAACTAGGAAAATCAATTAATTAAGCATAATTCAAGATCACCAAACTCAATGTTTTTAACATTTTAAAACATTTTTATTCTTAAAAACATCGAGTTTACTGATTTTGAATTATACTTAATTGATTTTCCTAGTTAGTTTTTTCAATTAAAAGGTCTGAAATGCGCCTTAAAAGCCATCGTTCAAAAGGCTGAACTGTGCCTTTAAACTCTTGTGTCCCAGTCAAATGAGAACAAGAATTGAACGAGAGTTGATGAGAATTAATTGGATATTACTGTTATAAATTCTCTTCGTAAGATTTATTTCTTCTCTGGTTCTCGAATAGGACTGCATTTTATTTATTCGTTTCAAACTGATTAATAATTTATGAGTAAGATTTATTTCTTCTCTGGTTCTCGAATAGGACTGCATTTTATTTATTCGTTTCAAACTGATTAATAATTTATGAGTAAATTAGCCAACCATATTGCTTTATTTAATCAAATATTTTGCTCACATGATAATACTGGATACCTGGTGAAGAAAATTGATCCAGTCCTAGGACTGGATCAAAATTAATTCGGTCCTTGAAATGGAGCAAAATTAAGTATAGTGATTTTTCGTATGAGATGTTATTTCAAATCCTCTGGGTTGGACTATATTTCAAGTCCTAATTTACTCATAGTCGGATTTGAAATATTACATTTGACATTCGTTACATATGACTGACCACTGTTGTCGTTATATAAACACCCTTACAAGCTCTATCACAATCTTTGTTACACTTTTTTGCGTGACGTACATTATGCAAAAACGTCCTCGCATATCTTATCTTTTCTGACACATTTCATCGCATGGTTGACCACAAAACAACCCACACGATTTCCCTGACCGCGTAATTTCCATCTTGTTTACTTATTATTCTAAAAAGTTCCTCTTTGCCTTAAAGTTCGTATTTCCTGTTATTTAGGTTAGCGAGTGTTGAGTGTTCCAGATTATTTATATTCTATTATTACAAGATTATTGACATGCATGCATAACTGTTATACTAATATATTTTTACTACATCTGTTCTATGCTAAATCTAAGCTACTAATTTACAACAATTACCAGTCAAACGAGCAAAAATTCGCATCAATTCTGAACCACCTCAGTTATATATATAGTTAGCTTGCTGCAGATGAGATCGTTAATTAGCTGCCTGGTCAGCGAGTTAGTTAGTTAGTTAGTTAGTTAGTTAGTTAGTTAGTTAGTTAGTTAGTTAGTTAGTTATAGTCAGCTAGTTAGTTAGTTATAGTCAGCTAGTTAGTTAGTTATAGTCAGCTAGTTAGTTAGTCAGTTAGTTAGTTAGTTAGTTAGTTAGTTAGTTAGCTATAGTCAGCTAGTTAGTTAGTTAGTTAGTATGTAATTTAGTTGGTTATAGTTAGCTGGCTCAGTAGTTAGATAAAGTTAGGGAATAAATTTTAAACATTCCTCTTTTTCTCTAGAACATGCCAACGCGTTAAACGCAATGGAAACAGACTTTTATGTGACGGACGAATCCAAATCAGAAGACGAAAATAACTTTAATTTTGGAAACTAGAAAGCTTTAGGCACTGAGTTTACAATTTCCTACGAAGTTAACTCGTTGCAGAATTTTAGACAAAATGAATTCTGATTCATTCTCAGAAAGTTTGTTGAGATATTATTGTGTTCTTATTGTATATCAGTTCATATAGTAGAGACTTTGAGAAAACGTCTTTAAATTTATGCATTTGAGAAAAACTGTGATATTTTATTATTTTATTATAATAGAAGTAGATAATAATATAGAGTATAGACAGTCAAAATATATAAATTAGATAATGCTTCACAGTTTATAGCCGGTTGTTATTGCTTGTTTTTATTTTAAGCTGAACTTGTTGTTGAATCTTGAATTTACAAGATGTTAATATTCTGAGCACATCATCTTAATTTTGCTAAATTGTCTTTTACAGTAAACGATTTTAGTTTATGTAGCTGACATAGTTTTTGTCATACCTGTGCATAAATTTTGTTTGCTAATGCTTAATTATCTATTGATCAATCACTAATCCTACTAACATTTGTCGGGAAATTCACGTGACCAAACAACCTTTTTGTTGCTGTTTCGCAGAGTCACTATCAATTTATAGTTCTGCTCGCAGGCTATACCTACGTTTGAGCGATGGGAAAGAGAGAAGTCCTGGACCTGCGCGGCCGAAAACAAAACAAAAATTTTCAAAATATTTCGAAGAAGAAATCGCGCCAGATCAATAGTCCTTATTTTTTACCAGAAATTTTAATATATTTTTAAAAATATGAATGTTTCCGCCGAAGAAGATGCTGATTTACGTGATCTGGTAGCACACACGCTCGAAAATAATGGAGTACTTGGAAAAATTAAGGTAGAGTGCTAGATGTCAATATTTTATTTTGCTGTTTTCACTGGTGTTTAGCTGTGTACATACTTCCATACTACATTTTAACTAACAGTATTTATGCTGGATAGCTCTGTCAGTTCTAAACTTCTCTTGCTAGAGGTCTAGTAAAGGACATTCCTCAATATACGTCTAAATAAAATGTTACTGCAGGAGAAAATTGGAGTACTTGGAGAAAACCTTACCTGTGGAGCTGTGGTGTTTGATCACAGATTAAGTATGAACCAGATGTATAACTTCAGTAAAAAAGTTGTCCGACGGTCGCCATCTTCCTAGGAAATTTGAGGAATTTTTACACATCAGGGCCCGGTTGTATAAAAAAGTGATTAAAGTTAACTATGGTTAAGTGCAAACGTCATCCAATAAGAAGCGCCTCTTTGAGAGTTAATCACTATTTAACTACAAAATAGTGATTAAAAAAGTGATTAAGAGTTTTATACAACCGGCCCCAGTCAATCATGAAAATGAGGCTCTATGAACAATATGATATACTTTCCAGATTCAAGATTCTTTAATTCAAGTATGTATCAAGGCCCAACGTCTTTGGTAGGGAGGCAGGGTGTTTTGTAAAAGATGTCATATTCATGTAATTTTTGCAGAAATGTGTATTTGACATCTTGGCCCACCATTTGTCCATTGAAGCAAACTGATTATTAGCAAGCCTGGTTTAGACTGCATTATTCTACCTAGCTCAGCTGGATAGTTGATCATCTTGTGTTGCAGTTTGCAGAACATGGCACATTTCAACGAGATCTCGGGTGTGCTAAACCAGATTTCTGAGTGCAGGTGCATTTGAAATCATCAGGTGCACACCTGGAAAGTTGTAAAAATCACCCCAAGTGAGACTTTCTTACTGTGCAAGTGCAGAATCGGTCTACTTTCTTCGTCTTTCTGTCTTACAACGCTACAAATGTGAAATGTTGAAACATCTGCTAATATCTGTCTTTCAACAACTTTGATTTCTCCAACGTACTAGTCTGCGATAGCAGACTGATCCCGACCCCCCTGGAGCGGCAGAGAAACAGTCTGCGATCAATCAACACTAATGCCGTACAGTTACGATTCAAGCAGTATTTTGCATAATTAATTTAAAATTATTTAAAAACTGTCAAGTCCAAGATGGTGGATGCAGAGCAACTATGAATTATTATACATAATGTAATTTATGCAATTTTCGGTGTGATCACAAAGGAAAATTTCAACCAAAAATGTTCCACCCCCCCTGTTGTGCGGGGGATTTTAACTGTACAGCATTAGTGTTGATTGATCACAGACTGTTTCTTCGCCGCTCCAGGGGGTCGGCTGAGATCAGTTTGTCTTACTCAACCAATCCAAGTGCACCTTTAGGAATCAATCTAACAGAAGCACTGAGGTCAGGTGTGCTATATTTTGAAAGAGAATTTGCTCTCGGGTGCGCTTCTGCCACGTTCTGCAAACTGGCTTGTGTTGATATCTTTGGGTATTTCTTGGTTTAGGCTGAACTACGAGCAAATGTTTTTATGGTTTTAGATGCTCAAGACAAAAATGAGACGGTATGAATATTAATATTTTTATTTTATAGTCGATGTAGAATACTGCAATTTTGACCCAATCTATCTATAATCTATGCCCTGTAAATTACTAAATACTCTCCTCAGTGCTTCCATTTTTAAAATCAAAATTTCTCATTTTTGTCATCAAAATTTCTCTAAATTCCTTAGATTGTATATGTTATTTCCTTGAAAATTCCTTGAAATTTCATGAAGCAGTTTGCAGTGATTTTGTAGCAATACAAAGGATTTAATTACTTTTCAAGGCACAAAATACCACAGTTAACAAAGATATGGGCTAGCTAAAAACCACAGGCTATTATACTGTTTAAAATTAAATATTTGTTATGAATTTACAAGAGATACCTTTACATTGATATGATTAATTAACTATTCACAACGCTTGGCGCCAAAAGTTACTAAATCCCATCGCTCAAAAACTTTCTGAAATTTTCGGAAACACGAGGAAAAAGTTAAAAACAGATCTTTAATTAAGGAAAATACTAATTCGCTGACCTCAGAATGACATTTCGTCAAAACTTTTTTCTTCAAGATTGGTTTAGAAACAAACTTGGAGTAGGGTTAGGTTAGGGATAGGGTTGGGGTTAGGATTATGGTTAGAGTTGGTGTTTGGAATAGGGTTAGTGTTAGTAAAACCGTTGCATTGTTACGTTTTGTCACTTTGAGGCCAGCGAAATAACCTCTTCCTTTAAAGATAATTAATTGATAATTCACTCAAAATTTAAAAAAATGGAAACCTTCTTCTGCACTAATGCGCTTGGATGAATACTTAGGTTTTTCGGAAAAAATCCTTAGATTTCCTTAGATTTTTTCTCTTCCTTAGATTTTCCTTTTCGACAGTAGAATTTCCTTAGAAAAGGAAATTTCCTTGAAAATGGAAGCACTGACTCTCCCCTTCACAAAGTAAAACATGTGACATTTGGCAGAGCAGTGTCAGATACTAGGGGTGCAAGGGCAACCTCCTCTCCCCTCCCAACATTTAGCAATGCTGCAGGAATAACTTTTTCCATCATGGTAGACAAAAGGTGATCATCTGGTGCAGGGTTTTTTCAGGGATTTTTTCAGGCCGTTAAACGGCCCCAAAAACTCAATCTTGTATTGAGTTTTGAAACTCAATCTTCTCACCAAAGTTTCAGTGCAGTAAAAATGAAGTTGTTTGAGTTATAAAATTTTGTGACGTGTGGAAATTAGTTTTCAGTTGGAAGCCCGACAAGCCATCTTTAACCATTTTATAGTGTCCCTGCTTTAACACATTCCGTCTCAATTACATTTATTGAGTACAGGTGTCAGCCCCCCGGTAGGGGGGGGGGTGCAGCCACCCCAACTGTTCAGCTAAACTCGATCTTCTCTGCAAAAACGGACCCAAGAGAAAATCCTGGAAAAAAACCTGTGATGGAAACCCAAATTTTACCCCCCAATATTTTGCAAAGTGCCTGCCACTGAGGTAGAGTAAAATGTAAAATAGTAAAGTAATGGATTTGCAAGAGGCATGGGTAGACATAGCAAAAATGATCTGAATGAAAAAGTAATGATGACATACATAATGCATATTGAGGCATTTGAAGGGTTTTTGTAGATCGAGCTGAAAGTTGTGTACAGTTTTCAGACCCAACCAGTCCCTGAGCATCTGCAAAAATGCAACCATGGACCCTCTGGCAGGAATCGAACCTGCAGCCCTGTGATTCCGGTGCAGTGCTCTAACCAACTGGGCTACATAATCCAGTTGTTGAGCTCTAACCACAAGTTCAACTTGGTAGATCTGAACATTGTATATAACCTTCTGCTCAAATTTCCATCTACAAAGATCCTTCAACTAGCTGTTAGTTCTATCGAGCTCATTTTCACCCAGTGATGAAACCTTCAGAATCCAAGATGCTGAAACATCTAGTCGACAATGAGGCATTGTGTGTTTTAATTAAATAATCCACAGCCATACTGAATAATTGAATTTTTATAGAATCAACTTCCAGTCATTAATGAGAATCTAAAAAATTTCATAAAGACTAAAGAAGGTAACCTGGTAGCCATTAATACCAACTGAATAATCCTCCCTTGCCAGTTGCCAAGTAAAATTGTCTTGTATTAGACAAAGTGAAATAGTAAAAGTTGTGCACATGGGCTGCTAGGTTTACAGGTCTTATATATCTGATGAGAAAGCTTTGGATTGACAGGGATGCAAATACCTGAAAAGTACAAGGAACTTCAATGTTTCAAGTGAACTGGCCTTTGTTTGAAACATTGAAGTTCTCCTTGTAAGACAGCTAGTTGTATCATTATCAATCCAGGGTCTGAAATTTATATTTTTTCTCAGTATCCAACTAGGATACCAGGATTCAAAGTTTATGATGATTCTGATGATTTAATAACTTGCACATTTTTTAGGTCGACTTGTGACTGGTTTGGTTCGAGAGTTTTTAGAATTTTTTGGTTTAGAATATTCACTGGCAGTGTTTGATCCTGAGTCTAGCTTTGTAAGTATATATGCTGTGTTTTTCACCTCCCCTGAGAATTTTTGCACCTCTCCTGAAAAGTCATGCACCTCCCCTTATGGAAGTTTCAATGATAGATCAGTCAGAGTGAAAATTTGACATTTTTTCGTTGCTTAGGGTCTATACTTCGTATGAACGTTTTTCTGTAAAATCGAAACAGTGATAGCCATTCATCATTCATGTTTTAAAAGAAACTTTGTAGTAATTATAATGAAGGGCATAATTGGATGAGTTGTACAGTCATAATTCATTAATAAAAGTTCTGATACATATGTACACTACATGCATACGTCACGTCGTTGGTTTGGCCCGTTCTAAGCCCTAACTTTCCATGGGAGTCGTGAGGTAGACCGCTGCACCTCCCCTAAATTTTTTTCCACCTCCCCACTATTTCCACCAAAACCCATCCTTGTGCTGTCTTTGAGCTAACTAATACTATGTTACCACACCTAGGGTGATCGTTATCAAGGCAGAGAAGGTTTAGCAGACGAACTTAACGTCAACAATGTTGTCAGTAGTTCGAAACCTATCATATCTTCACTTGTTGAAAACCATTCGCAAACTGGGATGCCAAAACTGGATCTGGGGTCCATTAGCGAGGTATGAGAAATCTAAAACTAAAGTCGAACCTCCGTAATAGACCTTTCCCCTTATGAGTGAAATTTTGATCTAGATATGCCTGGACAAAAATTTCATCACAGCTTGAAAGAGCATCACAAAATTAGTAATATTCCAAAGTTTCGTTGCGAAATGTTGTAAAATGCGGCTAATATAGCTTTGCGAAGTTTGCCGTTTTTCAGTCATTTTGCATTACAAACGGGAAACTGATAATCGGATGATCAAACTGATTATCAATTTCCCATTTGTAATACAAAACGACTGAAAAACGGCAAACTTCGCAAGGCTATATTATCCGCATTTTACAACATTTCGCAACGAAACTTCGGAATATTACTAATTTTGTGATGCTCTTTCAAGCTGTGATGAAATTTTTGTCCAGACTTGTCTAGATCAAAATTTCACTCAAAATGGGAAAGGTCTATTGATACGGACACAGGATAGGACCACAAAATTAACCACAACGTGATAATGCAATTAAAGTGAATATTAAACGTTGTATTGATCTGTAGGATATACTGAAGAAAGGACGTGTTAGTCCAGAAATATCACCGAGATCAGTATCCTCTGGTAGTCGGGTAAGAATTTTTTGTTTATACTGGACAGCTCTGTCATTTCAAAACTGCACGTTCTCCCTAGAGATTCAGTTAGGGCCAAGGGCGGATCTAGCCTCATCTGCAAGGAGGGGTGCAGGTTTTTCATGGGGTGGTGCATGAGGGAGGGGAGCCCCCGTGCTCCCCCACGGTAGATCCGCCTGCGGTTATTAAGGCGATTACTTATTTGTCTAGTGCACAAAATGTATTGATGTGTGTCTTGCTTTGCTTTATTTCAGAACAGCAGTCCTAGAGTAAGCAGAATTCCTCAGCGAATAAAAGAAAAGAAAAAAACAGAGAAATCTGAAATTAAGACACCCAAAGATTCCGACAAATCTCTTGACGAAGAATTAAAACCTACAGGACACAAAACAGGGTAATATAGTCAGGATTGAACCTGATTTTTGCTGTTCGGCCGGATTCTTTGACAGTAAAAAAGTTGATCAAGATAGAGGTTTCTTATTATAAAGATACATTACATTTCTCCTTAGAATGACCCAAATATTACACATACCAAAAATTAAAATATTTAAATTGGGGTTAGTCGTATTCCAATTTTGTTTTCTCTTATCTCTAAAAGGAATGCAGATTTGAGTGTAAGTTTGAACGACGATGACATCTTGGCTGAGTTTACAAAACCGCGTTATACTTCATCGAAAGACAAAGCCAACAGCGAGTACGTATTAATGATGAGATTATTAGCAGTTTGTAGTGCAGCCCAGTTTCATCTTGATGCTTTTCCAACAATATCATGCATTCTATTTAAGTTTTAAGATAGAGTCATAGTTGGAACAGTCATCAAACCTTTATTATGGTAATCTAGTAAATCTAGAGCTTGAATTGTCCGCCGTATGTAAACTCTCCCCTCGTTTGACTAGCGCGGTATAAAACAGGGTTTTATATTTGTGCAAATGGTTTTATATCTATACAGCTATACTGTATATATATACTCAAAGACCATAACCATTCTTAAAAACTGGTATTTTGTTATTAAACAGAGTGTTCTATGCTAGTGTGTAACGATAACTACAGTATATCAAAGTTAAGTGTATACTAAAATTTTTGTCTGAATTTTTTAGGACCAAGAAAGGATTTTTATTAGGTATGCTTACTACAATAAATTGCCTTTAAATTGTACTATTCGCTACCTTACTAGATTTTATAATTTGTATAGATGAAGACACAAGCCGACCATCTTTTGAAGAATCTTGGCTTCATAATGCAGGCAAGAGTAGTCTACCATCACTTAAAGATCGATCTTTGACATCAGGTGACTTGGTTAATGAAACATTTGTATATGTTGTTTGTTAGTACATGTATTCCCTCTCTTTATATCTGGTGTTTGATTCCTCAATATGTAGTTTTCTAATTCCGTAAATTCGCAATCTAGGTCCGAAAGATCTCGGAGTTTCGAAAGGTTCTGCAGACTTTAAAGAACTCGAAGAAATCGATCGTAGAATTAATGAACTGGGTTTTGGTGAGTATTTATAGACCGTTATATATAAATAATGCACTTTTTTATAATCCATGCATGGTCATATAATAGACAATCTATATATAGTCTACTCATCTATCATCTATAGTTCGATCATCTATCATCTATAGTCTGATCATCTATAGTCTGATCATCTATCATCTTTAGTCTGATCATCTATAGTCTGAATCTGTTTGATCATCTATCATGTCTATGTATAGTATATAGTCTGATCATCTCTCATCTATAGTCTGATCATCTATATTATAGTCTATTCATCTATCATCTATATTATAATCTGACCATCTATAATCTATAGTCTGATTATCTATAATCTATTTTGGCTGCCATCTATAGTCTATTCATCTACAATCTATAGACTATTCGTGAATCATATATAGTTTATCCAGTCTATAACAACGCATCAAAATCATATTGGTTTTAAATTATAAAACAAGTAATTTAATAATCATAATGATTTCAGGACTTCCCGCTGAAGACAAGGCCTCGAGTCACGGAGATGACTACAATGACAGCTATGCTGACGATTTTCATCCCAGGTAAAAATAAATGATTTTATTTTTAAACAGCATTACAAACTGAACAATATAATTCTAGCAATACAGCAATATTTACATTATTCTGCTGTAAACCCTCTGTTTTGTAGCACGCACAGCAATGAGGACAATTCCAGCATCCCTGAAGAAATTGACGGTGAAGCTTTCTCACTTGGCAGTTTTAAAAGTGACCATAGCAAGGTAATATGCACTCTCATTGAGCTACTGAGCTAGGTGTAGAACTGAGAACTGAAGCGATAACCAGAGGGAGGGAGGGCTTTCAAGGGGGGGGGACGAGGCGTATTGGGTCCATGGTCCATGGGATATACCTGTTAAGGCCATGTTACACGGTGCAATTTTTCTTGCAACTTGCAATGCAATTCTACTCTTGAGAGATGTAAAATTGCCAAATACGAGTCTTCATTACACTCCGCTGATGTTTTCTCAAACATATCGAAAATTCTTCACTGATTTCACTAATTAACATCTCTCAAGAGTAGAATTGCATTGCAAGTTGCAAGAAAAATTGCACCGTGTAACATGGCCTTTGGGGTTTCGTTGCAAATTTTCAACCTAAAAGATTTCCTCAGCTGTTTAACATTTTTTGCTAGTGGTGCTCCTACAAAGTTGATATCTGCTATCACATATTAATTAACCTTTCATGTTTACAGGCTGATGATTTGGTCACATCAGATCGAACGATATCACCTGTTGATGATTTTAAAGACTTGGATTATGGTGAAACTGTGAATAATTTTTAATCAATACAAACTATTTATTCAGCATATACATAAAAATTATTTATTTGGGGGGAGGGAAAGAGACAACAGCGATTGGATTTGAGTGATTTTGTGTCTGGAATTTCACTGCAAATCTCAGGCGGAAACTATAGTCGCTTGGCCCAACGACTAAAAAGGTTCCCAAGCATTTAAATTTCACATCTGAGCTAGGGAGGACGAACACGCATCAGCTGATCAGATTTGACAATGGCGAATATAATATATATAAAAGTATAATATTTTTTATGAAGATAACGGTTTTACATGATTTTTAACGTATATGACTCCATGAAGGTCGCCTTTGATTTTCTGAGGTGCGATCATTGTCACAGTACATTTGCCACTATGTGCTCAATCAAGTATGATTATTTATATGCTATGCTCTTTAGCTGTAAATTTACACTGTAAACTACTGTTAACAGCTAAATAAATACATTTAATGTATAATTTTATCAATCAACTTTATTGGGAGATGAGCATGACAAAACAAACTTTTTGTCGTTGGTTCGCAGACTCTTTATACCGATTCCGTGGAGCTCTGGTGCAGGCATACGTCGCAGGCTAAGTCCTTTAAATTGTCGGGTTTTGCAGGTTGCAATGCACGTGCATCGAACTTCGTTTGTTTTGAACTGTTTCAAAACAAATTTTCGTCGATATTTCTGCACAAATACTTGTCTAAATATGCCACGAAAACGCAAGGTAGGTTTGCTATGATTTCAATATTTTGTCCTTCATGTCAGATCTTGTCAAAAGTCGATTTTTAAATGTAATTTTAGTATTGGTTTGTGCAACGTTGTGAGACATTGGACAATGACATTGCTGCAACGTGTTTTGTTTTGTATGCATATATATATTTATGTTTTATTTCTATGTTTTTAATAGACAGATGATGAAAGTAAGACAAGTACAAAAAAACAGAAAGTCATTGATTTTAGCAAGAAAGAAAGTAGTTCTGAGGTGCATTTGATGATTTGAGAATATTAAAAATATATATTCAATAATTTTCATAATCTTTTTAGGGGCCATGTCCATATTCATGTTGCCACAAATAACATCGAATCAACGTTATTACTTCACCCACCCACCCCCAAGATAACGTCGATTGATATTCAGTTGTATTTTGGCTTCTGTACATTTATAATACAAAAGCTGTACTGTGATTGTTACTTTGAACATTAATTGTCAAATTGCCATGAGATAACATTGACAAGTTCACATAAAAACCCACCCACTCGTAACGTCAATTCGAAGTTATTTGTGGCAACATGAATATGGACGTGATCCCTTTATAGTACCAATGGGTACTCCCAAAGAGTTGCATTGTCTAAATCATATTTTAATTTAATCTATGCAAATATCTCTAATGTTTCACGCAGGGATTTATACAGTTAGCCGTGCTCAAATAGATCTAGTTTCGTTCAGGGCTAATTTGTACTATTTTAATATTGCCTGGTTTTGAGAGGTATTAAATATTAAAGTTTTTATTGAGACTTTAAAATGTGCCTGCATACTTCAGAAGGTGGTTGCCCATGCCTGTTTGTTATACCTGGTTTCATTTTTTCCATTTAAATGCAGCTGTTTTTAGGAGAATTTGTGCAAATTTGAGCATCATGGTAGTATAGTTCAGAACTCATTCAAATAAATCCTGCCGAAAATGCAGTCTAAACTATGTGTGTTATTAGGAGGAACCCTCAACGTCAAAGGATTCATATGCATTACCAGATGTTGATAAGTATGTATCTATATGGTTCTCACTTTTTTTCCACCAGTCAATTGAATATACATTCATCATAAATGCCCCCCCCCCCACTATTAAGACACTTCTGACAGGTGACGTTCTGCTGAAATTGCAACATATAGAGACACCCAGAGTCCTTTGTGTAAGACTGTACAAAGTAACACTACTGTATAAATGCTGCTTAAACTTTGAACTCCAGCTCCTGGAATCTGAAAATTTCATCTTGGAATATCAATGGTCTCAAGGCATGGATACAGGTATTCTATAATTCTAATACAGCCATCACTTCTTATTTTTCACCCTGCTCGGTTTCCTTTGTTCTTGTCGGGGAATATATTCAATATTCCCCTCTAATCAATTTCCGTTTAATAATCCCCTCTAATATTCACCTGCAATTAATAATCCCCTCTAATATTCACCTGCAATGTCTTTGCAGCACAAAAAATGAGAAAAAACAACATTGCGAAGGCAATATGGCATTAAGAATTATTTCTTTTCTGACTCATTAATGCGACCTCGCAGTGTGAAAAATAAGTACGTTATTTTGAGGCACCTCGGGGATATGTGTTTATTCACCTCGGCGCTGCGCGCCTCGGTGAATAAATCACATATCCCCTCGTTGCCTCAAAATAACCTATACATATTTCAATTGTTCTGCATCTCTTTTAATACACTTCTCAATTTTGCTTATTTTAAATTGTTAATTAGAAAAGTGATTCATTGAAATATGTGAGAAAAGAAGATCCAGATATATTCTGTCTTCAAGAAACAAAATGTGATGAATCTAATTTACCTAAGGTTGGTATAAGTAAGGTTGGTATGACCGTTTAAGTGGCAATGCAGCCTGATCTGCCCTACCTTAATATTTTACTCAAGAGTGAGTACTGCCACTTGATGGTTTAATAAATTCACCAAATATTCGTATAGGAGGCAAGTTTTCCAGGTTATTATTGTTACTGGGCTAACAGTGAGACAAAAGGCTACAGCGGTGTTGGGTGAGTTATTAATAAACAATTAAGTTTAACATGACTTGGTGACAATGAGTTTGACATTTTTTTGAGTTGGTTTGAACAAATTTTAATATCCTTCTTGTAGACTGTTCTCCAAGAAGAAGCCGAAAAACATCACATATGGAATAGGTATGAGTAAAGACATAAGTTACATTGCTATATGTATATAATTATGCTTATCGCATGTTGTTACTGCTCTTTTCAGGAGTGTCTGAACACGACAAGGAAGGGCGAGTGATTACAGCAGAGTATGAAAAGTTCTTCTTGGTTACATCATGTAAGATTAATATAATGCCTTATCAATATTGTTTTGCTATGGTTAATATCACAAGCAACTGATATGCATTTCCATTGCACATATTCTCTAGACATTCCAAACTCAGGTCAGGGACTAAAAAGGTGATGTACATATTTTCAATGTTGGTTATCAGTTGAGCAAAATGCCCAAAACTTAGAAAAATAATCTACCCTTACCATACCTAGCACGGTGCCTTGGCAGTTTTTTTTCAGGGATTTTTTAGGACCGTAAAACGGCCCCTAAAACTCAATCTTGAATTGAGTTTTGAAACTCAATCTTCTCACCAAAAGATTCAGTGCAGTAAAAATGAAGTTGTTTGAGTTAAATTTGTGACGTGTGCAAATTAGTTTCAGTTGGAAACACGACAATCAGGAAAAATGGCTGGAATTCATTTCACAACACAAGAAAAATTCGCCATCTTTAACCAGTTTATAGTGTCTGCTTTAACACATTGCGTCTCAACTAAACTTATTGGGTACAGGAGTCAGCCTCCCACAGCTGCCCCAGCTGTTCAACTAAACTCAATCTTCTCTGCAAAAACGGACCCAAGAGAAAATCCTGAAAAAACCCCTGCTTGGTATTCTGTATACGTGCGTTTCACCATATGCAATGGAGAGTGGTCAACCATAGAGCCTCTTTTAACATATAAACTGGGGTTACAAGTCTACAGCCCTTATGTTGGACCTTCTAGTAATCTATCCCCACAGCAAATTAAGTCTCTTCAGTCCAAACTATAGGCAAAGAGAAGGAACATCTTAGTATTGTATTTATTGCACTACCCAGGCTAGACTACCGTCAAACGTGGGACAAAGATTTTCGTGATTATCTTAATAAACTGGACAAGACTAAGCCTGTCGTACTTTGTGGAGATCTCAATGTCGCTCACAAGGAAATAGGTGGGTAACTGTTCGTCTTAGATAAAGTTGAGGAAACTAACTAACTAACTAGCTAGCTAGTTAACTGACTAGCTAACTAACTAACTTACTAGCTAATTAGCTAACTAATTGACTAACTAACTAACTAACTAACTAACTAACTAGCTAATTAGCTAACTAAATGACTAACTAACTCGCTAACTAGCTAACGAACTAGCTAACTAGCTAGCTAACTAACTAGCTAACTAAGTAGCTAATTAGCTAACTAACTGACTAACTAGCTAATTAGCTAACTAACTGACTAACTAACTAACTAGCTAGCTAGCTAACTCGCTAACTAGCTAACTAACTAGCTAACTAACTAGCTAGTTAACTGGCTAACTAACTAACTAACTAACTAACTAACTAACTAACTAACTAACTAACTAACTAACTAGCTAATTGATTAGCTAGCTAACTAACTAACTTCAGATCGCATTAACAACTTGTTCGCGACCGCCATGACCAAGTAGAAACCAGACCATTACTGTACATGCATGTACTTTTAGATTTAACCAACCCAAAGACGAACACAAAAACAGCAGGATTTACCAAAGAGGAACGAGCGAACTTTACTGAGCTGTTGGATCAAGGTTACGTTGACACGTATCGACATTTCTATCCTGAACGAACGGATCAGTACAGCTTTTGGTCCTACAGAGGCAACGCACGAGGCAAGAATATAGGATGGTAAGTATTATCCATGAATAATCGTTCTCAATCTTTTACAATCCAAGGGAGGTTTGTTTATAATTTCACCTCAGTCTCATGCTTAGGTGTACGGAACATTGATGGAAATTGTCCAACATTATCATGGCTTTTATTGATATGCAAATATTATTAGATAATACTTAGTGATTTTCAGAAATAATTGTGGATTCCAGTGCAGCGCTCTAACCAACTGAACTACAGAAGGCAGTTGTCGAACTTTAAACACAACACGAACATAGGTCTAATAACCCTTCCTGGCCTCCCACAATTCCCCAAGTCCGGATTTTCAGAATTTTTTTTCTTTCAGGCGATTGGACTATTTCGTCGCATCCGAAAGATTCATGGACAATGTTGCTCATAGTTTTATACGAGATAACATAATGGGTAGTGATCATGCACCTGTGGTTCTGCTGTTGTCTGTATGAGAAAACAAGATGCTGTTCAGCCTGTTTCTGTTGCAGCGGAAATAGTCCTTCCCAACTCCGCAAGAAAACTGTTTATATTGAGAATCTTATACTCTTATACTCTTATTAGAATTTAACTTTTATTATATGTATAGAATATAGTATATAGTAGTTTAATGTCTTTGTAAACTGTGATCATTTCAAACAGTGGCGTCATATTTTTGAAACAAGCTGCCGTGGTTGTTTCTGAATTACTTGCATGCAAAAGATTATTCAACTGAAAGAGAATGAGAGATCACAAGAGACGTAGTCATTATTGTTTTAGCTCCCAGCGGAAGCAGGCGGTACTCTTTATCAGCTGTCTCAAGTGAGAGCAAGAAAAACACCGAGGAAAACACAAGAGCAACTCAATTCTAATAACATGACTTTTGAAGTACATCCAGTCATTCACTGTTTTTCTCGACCTTTCTCCGCCCTCGTCAGAAGCAGCCGTTGTCATCCATCAGCTGAGTCAACTGGGAGAGAACACAAAAGAGACTTAACTCTACTTAGAAGAGTTTCGAAATACATAAAGTGAAGTCCTTCATTGCTTTTTCTCCCAACGGCAACGGAGAAGCTGGTACTCATTTAAGCCCATTTTTCCTTGACAACTTTTATTTACTATAGTGTGTTCGGCAAAATAATTGACAATTTTTCATGCTAGTTTTTGGACAAGGAAAATTTGACAAGTGTACAAGAATAACTTCTATGGTTTTGGCAAACAAAAGGGGCGGCCTTGTTGATGTGAGGCAAATGTTTAATAACGCCCAGTGGCAGTGCGCACGAGCAACAAAACTGTCAAGGAAAAATTGTCAAGGAAAATTTGACCGTACACACGAGAAAGTAAACTTGTCAAGGAAAACGTGTTCATCTATACGGGGCTTTTACCGGCTGAGTTCTGAGGGAGAACACAGGAGAGACTTGACTCTACTGACATGAGTTCGTCAGTCATCCACTATTTTAGCTCGAAGCAGATGGTACTCATTCGTCAGTTTTGAAGTGCATCAAGTCATTCGGTGTTTTACCCCGCCCCCAGCAGAGTCAACTGAGAGAGAACACATGAGAGACTTACTGTAACTCTCCTAACACGAATTTTGAAGAAAATCGAGCCATGCAGTGTTTTAGCAGTACCACAAAATAGTGGTTATTCTGTGTTGGTATAAAAGAAGAAAAGTTAGAGAACCAGAAACGGAAATTAACACCGGAAGTCCAACGTATACCACTATGAGACCCAGTCTCCCAAGTGCAACTTCGCGCGGGTGGAGATCTCGAAATATATAGAAGTGTTCTGGTCGTAAATGGTCAAGAGGGAGTCATGACTTAGAATTGAAATTTCTCACAATATTTAAGGAATGGCTTCTTTAGATATCGAAAGTTGGACTCCCAGCGATGTCGCTCAATGGATAAAAGGTATGGGAATGATTGCTCGGGGCGAAATATTTATTTAACTCTTCCAAAACAAACCGCATTTGTCGACAATGGCCAGGAACACGTCTAGTCACGGAAAGTTATATTGTGCTTGTATTTTTTGCCTGGTTTACAAGTCTATGGCCTGTTTAAGTTGCTATTCACAGCTTGCAATTGGCTTTGATTTTATTAATTAAATCTGCGGGGAGGACTATAGCATGTTGTGGAATTCTGGCAATTTTTAATGAAGTTGATTATCATTTAGATTCGCGAACTTTGAAGCCGCTATATTTTATAGGAATAGTTATATTCGTCTGCATTTCGCTTCGTATTATAGTAAACACAGTGTTTGCTATATACATATAAGATTTATTTATAATTTGCTAAGCTAAACAGCGAAAGTAATTGATATAAAAACTGTACAATTGCCTTGCCTAGAAAAATCTAGAATTTCGAATTTAGCCGAAGTCATCAAAATACAGTACTACATTTTGTTCTAGAAATGGTTGTAGAAACTATCTGCAACATTTTGATACTATGAAATCACGGCAATAAATTCATTTTATGCGTTATATCTTTGTTGAAATAATTTTGTATACCCAGCTGTTAGAAAATTATATAAAATTAGTGCTAAGTCGTGAGACTAAACAAAGATATAAAGGCGCTTATATGGCAAGCTGCCCTAAGCTTTTAAAAGGGGAATAAAAAGTTTAAAAAATTCTATTGAAATTTGCTTTTAATTTGTACAATACAAAAGTAACTGTATTGAGTGTGGTCTATTCTACAACACAGCTTCGTTCCAATTTTCCTGTTTGCAAATACACTGAAGGTCCAGCCAGCAAAGAACCTAGTTAATTGTATGGGCTATATTGGCCTCTGCGCCGCCCTGTTTATATCAGAACGGAATATTTGAATGTATATGTTATAAAAACAAATTAAAATATATTGAATAACAGTGAAATTTTCGTTCAAAATGCCTTCACCCCTCGGTACAGCAATTTCACACCCTAGAATACTTTTTGTTCAGGAAATAATTAAAAGTTATGATATGAAATTGGCAATTACTTTTTACTCTCCTTGCTATTCAGTGAAACTCTTTATATACTTGTAAACGCTTTAAACTATATTGAATAACGGCGACATTTTGGTTGAAAATATTTCCATAGTTCCATTTCTAAGTGTAGCAACTTCACACTTTTTAAAACCAACTTTTTATTACGGAAATATGATATAAATCAATAGCATTTTTCACTCTAGCAATGATTAAAAGTCATCAAATTCGTAATCAATTTGTCATCTGGAAGCACTAAGAATGTTTTATTGTAATACTGATCTTGTGCAAACTTCCAAGTACACACAAAGGTTTTGTTTGTATAATTACTGCATAGTTGGCATTCCTAAGAAGTCTGATTGATTGCTACAGTTATGGCGGCAATAACTTTAAACATGTACAGTAAGATCTGGGCAGCTGTGTTGAAAATTGCTATGCTATCTCTCTTTTAATTCCCTGCTAAATCAAGCTCTCTGAGGCTATTGCTGTATTATATTATTGCTTATATTATTATCTATCGCTGAAATTATGTTGGGTTACAATTTTCTTGAAAGCTCTTTGTTCTACTTCTTCAAAGAAGCCATCTGACAGTTGTTCCTTATCAGGGTTCGAAGTAGGGGAAAGATATGGCCTGCCACTCTAAAAATTTTTGGCAGGTGAAATAAATTTTAGCCTGCCATTTTTATTCATTGAACTGCGAAAATGTCTCGTATGAGTCATATTGTAAAAATCAATGTTTTCATGATATGCATTTTTATTATTTTTAAACTTGTCTATTTTACCGCAGTCAAATTGGATTTACATTTCAAATATAAATGTATTTAGTCAACTAAATGATCTAGTATATATGTGACTTGTTGTAAGCAATTGAAATGAAATTTATGTATAGAATTTCATCTGCCATTTTTTTTTTGACTTGGCAGTTCATTTGTAAATTATGACATTTGTAAATTATGGCCTGCTTTTGGCCATTGGCTTTCTGAAAAAAGGTATCAATTTCCCGTGCATAATACAAAATGACTGAAAAACGACAAACTTTGCATTGCTATATTATCCGCATTTTACATTACATTTCGCAACAAAACTTCGGAATATTACTAATTTTGTGATGCTCTTTCAGCTGTGGTGTTTGTCTAGACTTATCTAGGTTAAAATTTTGTTCATTAGGTAATAGGCCCATTCCTCTGGTCAACACCTTAATTTTCAGCACCTCCATTTTTCAACACCTCCTCTGACAAACACCTCCATTTTCAAGCAATTTTTCTGATCAACACTTCAATATTTTGAGGAAGTTCCTTAAAATTAAAAAACTTCATGACTTTCTGTGTTTGTATTGACTAATAATATAATATGTACCGATTCCAAACGGGGCTCAAATTTTATCGCGGCAATCGCGGCAATTGCCGTAAAGGGAGTACAAAATGCCGTGGATCATTGCGGAAACGACGGCAATTTTTTACCGTATAGTATAATTTTTATACTATTCACTAAATTATTATATTAACAATAAAATTAAATTTTTGTTACAGTAATTTGAAAAAATGCCGTGGAAACTGCCAAAATTGCCGTAGACAGCTGTTACTTTCTACGGCAATTATTAATGCCATTGCCGTTGTTTGGTGTCAGGGAAATTCGAGGCCTGATTCCAAATGACCAATAACATGAAAGCATTCATTAACATAAAGTCAAAATGATGTTGTGATGTTACTCTGAGTGTATATCCACACCGGGCAAGCTTGAAAAACATGCCTGGTCATGGTGGGAATCGAACCTACAACCTAACCCAATGCTAGTTCCTTCTATATCAATGCAATCTAGTTATCATGATTTTTTTCTGTGTTACTCAAACCGACCTGACTGCATAGCTCAGTTAAGTTGGCAGAGCATTGGGTTAGTATTCCAAAGGTCATAGGTTTGATTCCTACTGTGACCAACCATGTTTTCCCAAGCCTATAGCTGCCCGGTGTGGATATACACTCAGAGTAACATCACAAACATCATATTCACATGAGTACAATCAACACTAACACAGAGAAAAAAAGAAGAAAAAAAGGGAAAAAATCATAAAGTCAAAATGTCTGCTGGAGATAATTAGCCATGAATTACTATAGTCAACTGATTCAGGTCTGTCCTTTATGACGTGCATTTTCTCCAGTTGCTTGAACTCACTTGAAATATCTAAGATAGAGATGAGCTGATGATCGGCAAAACATCAGCAGAGCTGATTAACGGCTACTGTTTTACTTTATCACAATCGGCCAACTGTCTTTCACCATCTGATTGGCCAGCGGTGTCTGTCTCCTCTTTGTTTATATCATGGCTTCTCATTCTGAAAGTATTGTTAATGGAAATACTTCAAAATTGATGAGAAAGATGAAACAGAGGCTGAGTGTCTGGCTTGTAAAAGCAGTGGTATCTGTTCTTGTTGCAACAAGGTAGAATGCAGAAAAAGAATTTCACAACAAGCAACCTGAAAACTCATCTGCAGTTGCTACATCCCCATTTGAAACTAGCGAGTTGAATCAAGTAAAACACTAAACATCAGGAAAACCAATCATCGGTTTTTCTGGTTAATTAGGTGGGTATATCATCTCTGAAAAATCGGTATCGGGAATCTTTTTTTTATACCGGCTCATCTCTAATTTAAGAGGCCCACTTCATTATATTCCTTGCTAAATCAAGCTCTCAGGCAAAATTTATCCTGTTGTGCTTACATCAGGATAAATATTGCCTGAGAACTTGATTAACTAGAATTAATGCAAATGCTTGTAGCAAATAATAAATATGACAAAATTTTCTCAAAAAATTAACACAAGCCTGAAGTCATAATTATAATGTAATTATATTTTCTTGATTTTGTATTTCATATTTTGTCTTGTAGGACTTGGACCTCAATTTGAATCTTGTTCTGAAAGCTTTGTTGATGAAGAAATTACTGGGAAAGCCTTGTTGACCATCAATACAGAATATTTGACTGAATTATCTGTGAGTTACAAATAAATGAATCAATGATTCATATTCCAGACTGAACCAAGGTTTGGGTACTTGGGTGCCAAAAAGTTGAGCAACCTCAACGAGTC